ATATAAATTTGTTTACTTAACTTTCATGATATTATTTATGCTTTATTAGTTACTAGTAAATGTGCTTAGCCTTGAGCAAAGATCAATTCTAATCTTAGTTGCTGTAAAACCAGTATCTTTTTAAAAAAAATTTTACACACAATATTGTATAGTATATCTACTTTCTATGATGATATTTATTATAACATTTCTTCACTATATAGCAAATTTTTGCCAAAAAAAAAATAAAGTAGTTAACCACTTATCCTTAAAAAAAATTATGTGCTTTTTGCTCATTGATATAAAAATGATTATCAATCACTGATCTTGAGTAACGCACACTTGTTATAACTATGTGGTCATCTTGATAACTATAATTATTTGTTTATGTAATAAACCTCCACGGTACACATTTAAAAATAATGAAATTCAATACATGTTCACCGTTGTTTGTTTTATTTTAAAAATTAATAACCTTATTAACATAGACAATGGACAATATAAAAAAAGATTATAATTTATTTTTAATAAAAATAAAAATATCTTGCCTAATTACATGACAATAGCAGTGTGTAAAGCATATTGTCTGAATATTGATAATTTAATTCTGAGTAATTTTATGCTGTCTTTGTTTAAACAAATGTTACAGGTACAAAATATTTTTGGTTTATTTGGTATTGATTTTGTAATCAAAACAGCTGATGGAAAAACATTAAATGACAATTTACTTAAAAATATTAACAATGAAACAATTGTAGTTCAAAAGTATAGTTCTTTTGAAACCTTTAAGATTCACCAACAAAAATCACCTTTTACCCAGTAAGTTTTTTTTTTAAATATTTTGTTGTATTTTTTTTTTTTAAACATTTTTAATATTTATATACATTATTTAAAATTTTATTTTATTCAATTTGTTTTTAATTGCTTAGATTCTAAATGTAATTTAACTATTATTATCAATTCTCTTTAATATTCATATTTATTTAGGTTTATAAATGCCAAATTTGGATCAGAAACTGGAACAGTGTTGCTTCATGAAGGTGATGATAAAAATGATTTAAACAAGTTAAAACCGAAAATTGCTCGTATTTTCAACTTGAAAATAAACCAAATCAAACTAATACAAGAAAATAATGTTATCATTACACAAATGGAATAATGAACTATTTTTTAAATGTGTTCATACTTTTTAATATCAATATAAATATGATTTAAAAATTATTCAATTAAGTATATTTTATTTTATGTCTTCATCCTAAAGTCATTCATATCTAAATTATATGCATTTTTACATTTTTATTTATTTTAAAAATATATTGTAAAAAACTATTATTAAAATGTGTGTAGATTAAAATGTTTATATCAATCATTTATGAGACCTGTATCAATAATTATTATCAAAAGAGTTCCGTGATTTAAACAATAAAAACTTATAAAAAATTAATATTAATTATGTTTATCGTTAGAATGTGAGTTATAAATTGAACAAATATAACCAATCAAATTTTATGTTAATAGTGATACATGTTGAAATTTATATTAACTAAATTTTAAAGATGAGCTCTATATAAAATCAATTTTACCTAAATATACTTACAGAACTAAAAAATGTTTATTTTAGCTAAGATGTGTAAGAATTTACAAATATTTTTAGTTTTTTTTTTTTTTTTTTGTTAGTATACAATTGTTGATTTGTTTTTTATTTCATGTAATTCAAGATAATGCCGGAATTCTTATATCAAAAAAAAATTGAATTGTTTGATTAATGGCTTATACAATAATTATATTGAGGATTTTTTTTAAATGTCGCTTATTTACTTTATAAGAGCATTCAATAATCTTAAATTGTATGTTATGTTTTCAATTAACACAAATATTAACTGCATTCTGCTGTAGCTATCTAGTTTATTAAAATGTATGAACCTTCATCCTTTTCTGTAAAATTTTTTTATGATTTTAATAGATGTGGTTCGTGTATATGAAATACTATCTAAAATATACAAAAGATTTTGATGGACAATTTTTTTTTCAATGTTATTTTCATGTTTTAAAATTTGAATAATCATTTTATGTACCATATTTTTTAATACTTGAATTGTAATAGATCCCCATTATTTTTAGATTTAATTTTGAAAGTTGTAACATGGTAATATAGTTTTTTCGATTTTTTTGTTACAATTTATGGTTTTGATAACAATTAACAATTTAATTTAATTTAAAATACCTACATGCAAAATTAATACTATCATTTATTCAGTATAATATTGAGCTTGATTAAATTTGAAATTCTATTTTTATTTACAAATTTACAATAAAATAACTACCAACAAAAAATATTTATATTCTCGTTAGTTGGTGAATTTTTTTATTACTCTACATAAATCGTAACGGTTCTTTTTTAACACCAAATTATTGGAAGTATGCCATTTAATATTGCCCAACTTTTTATTAGAAACCTTCCCACACTTTTCTTTTCTTTAATATTAATATGCTGCGTGTGGTTCTCTGTCAGCGTCAAGGCGTTTCGACGTAGGTAGAGTGAAATTCATCATTTAACTTTTATAAAAATAACAATGTTTATAATGAGATTCAATGTAGGTAACTACTTAGTACATATTTACATGTATATATTAGTACATTTTTATACTAGACAAATATATATAGATTAGTACAAAGTACGATTATAGAAATGTACAAGAACAATAAAATTAACTTGATTTTAACACGGACTTCGTTCGATGATAAATTCAGGTGTCCTACCTGTGATAAGTAAAGATTAATTTTTTTATCAATAGGTATGTATATTATTTTGACTTACCTCTGTAATACAATGTAATAACAGTATTGCTTAAGAGTACGCCACATCACCAGTAATAATTTATCCTGCATTAAAACGGTTTTCGGACGCTTCTCAGACCCGCAGTAGCCTTACCAATTTTTTGTTACCATACATATTAAAGAAATGTAGGTATGCATAATACATCAAGGTACTTTTATTTATTTATTTTTTTTTTTATTACTTTTTGAGACAATTCAAATGATTCACTCATACGGATTAATTTTTTTCTTCTTTTTTATATTTTATTAAAAATATAAAAACGCTACGACACAGATAAAAAGTTCTCTTCTATGTGGTGTGAACATTGAGTGAATCTATTGTAAATAATGTACTCGTAAATTTGTTCCGCGCGAAATCATTTTTTTCTATAATCTCATTACCACTCAACGACCATTATTGATACTAACACGGTACTACTTGTCTTGTAAAACACTTTGAATAAAGTATTAAAATATAGGTATTGAAGATTAAACGTTTAAATTCTCAATATTTCATTAACCGCTTTGAATAACAATTGAGTGCTTGTATACTAAAATTGATATACCGTGGTATACCTACTACATTATTTGTAGAATCACTGAAGAATAATGATACAGCTTTTGGGTACTTAATGAAAAGTTTTAAGAGATTAATCCTATACAATGCTTGCTATATTTATTCAATTAGGTAATCATAATACATATTTTTATTTTTAAATCGTAGAAACTAAATTTCTATCTATTATACCTGTGGATATTGAATACCTATATTATATGGATATGTACTCGAAAACAATGATCAACAAAAATTCGTTAATACCTTTATAGCCACTTATCTAACATTCAGTCACGTTATGTTAAGACTTCATGAACTATGCCTAAAAATAAAGGTAAGTACCAATATCAATATTTATACCTATATACAAATTACAGCAATCAAACAAATATGTCTAGTATGGTCGACTTAATACGTTTTTATGTGGAATATATAAATAACGATTGGTTTCGTTAAAACATTTCGGACACAATACATTTACATATTGCATTTGAAATCGTTGAGCTGTTAGAAATATTTTTATTACACCGACGTAAGGTAGCGGTAATAATAATGTACGTAGTATAATAATAATATTGTATATTGTACCTATAATAGGTACTAATAAAATATTATAATATATTCGGCTACCAGCCCCCTAGTTGATATGCTTTTGTATTGTCAATCGCAATTTTATTATTTTGTTTTAATCAATATGCTAACACAGAGCTGAATCTGTCCAAATCCAAAGTAACTTAAATGGGGGAAAAAAATAAGACAAATAAATAGATAGGTAATAAAAAGAATAACAACACGTAAATATCTACTATTGTATTACTATTCTTGTACCTACGAATGCTTTATACGCACGTGCGTGTAGTAGGCACCTGTGTATCGATGACTTATTAACATAATGACTTAATTATTTTTATATTTTATGTAAACGAACTCGATCGAGGTTATGGCTATATCACAGCGACCATAGTGTCCACACACCACTGTATCGCAGTGTTGTTGAGTATAATATTATTTTTCTTTTATTCAACTTTCGCTTCTCGTGTCTATTTAAAAATGCGATCGTCCCGCACGTTGCCAGTTATCCACTTGTCCCCCCGACTCTGCAGCCTCCTACCCCGGCCGACACGAGAAAAATCCCTCCGAACAACAACAATTGTATTTTTGAACAGACGTGTAAGATTTACGCAGTAGAAAAAAGCGGCACTCGTGCACGATATCAACACGCGTTACATAATTATAATAAAATACATTCAATTTGTTTTTCCGATCAACCGCAAGGTTTAATCATCTGTTTTTCTTTTTTTTTAGTACTCTTGACCCCGTCATTGCCGTTGTCGTTAATGGAAAATTTCATTATATTATAATATTACATCTGTAGCGTGTAAACGATATCATAATATTAGTTGGGCGTAAAAAAAAATGTTCTACAATTTATTACGAGTATATCAAAAAAACAGCTATCCGGTACCGTTTTCGAATTTATCATAAAAAAAAAAAATAAAAAAATGCCACCGGCGCCGCAACCGTTGCACTTCAGCTCGGTGTAAATAATCGTTATTTATCTCCGAATGTTTTTCGTATTTCTCGTCGTTCGTCGGGTGGGGAGAACAGGTTGTGGTACGCGTTAGTAAAAGGAGGAGTGGCAAATGCGTGCACGCTAGTTCGAGTTGTGAGTTGTGACACGAAATCACTATTCAGTATTCACTATTCAGTATTCACATCTTAAGTAAATACTTACGGTCGCACACGTGCGTACACTCGGATTGTCATCTGCTCGTTTAACATGTGTCCGTGTAATGTTCGATGTCCGTCGCACAAGTAAAATCCATCATCTAATGCTGCAGTAATACACTAATATACATTATTGTTATACGAGAAGTGAGTTTTCGACCATATTATCCACATTACTTTATTTATATTATGACTATAACTTATAAAACGTATAATAATATACCTACTTGTGTAACACATTAATACCATTTAGTACCTATTTATGGCGTGTGTATCTATAAGCAATGAGCATTGACCAATACCCGTGTAATAATATTCACAGCGATTCATCGTCTCGAACAAACTTAACAATATTGCGACTAAATAAGTAGTTTTTTAGATAAGTATCTCCTATCCTACGTGGGTTTTGGTTTGATTTGGAATTACTTAGCGTATTATTATTCATGATCTATTTTATTATATTATAATTAATATATTTTTTATTACGCCTGCGTATTATATAATGATACTATATGAACATTGTATACATATATAATCGGCTGACAATCGTCTTATGTGCTTGTATCATAATATTCATATAACACGCACGTAGCGCGGACTGTATTTTAATATTAATCGAATACATAACACAAAACTAAACATTTGGTCATCGTTTACATCATGATGTACAAATTTGTTGTTTATTAAATTTAAATGTTCCGTAACCAATATCTTAAAACGACCACAGGATTTCTTAGGTTATATATTTTTTAAGATTTTAAGAACAATATTTATAACGACTGTTTTTTGTTTTGTTTAATGTGGAAATTTTTATAGATTTTACAAAATATAATATGTCGAGTAATATGTACACATTGTACATACGTCTGTACCATATTGATTAATGATTAAGATGTTAAGTTATAAGTTTGAAATTACGACAAGAGTAATTGCTTATTGTTATATATATATATGTTATTATATATATTACACCCGCCCGTACATAGATGATTAATTTATTTTATTGTGTACTACCTATAAAAAAATGTGCTACCTATTCTTTCTTTTTTTTTTATGTTTAAAAATTGAAATAGCTATAATATTATGTTTGCAAGTTAGGAACTATTTAATACCTACTTTACCAGTTTGAAGATCATAATATATAGGTACCTAACTATTATTTCGTTTTTATTGATTTAGTCTCCCAATTAATTATTATTACTTGATATTTCTTTATGAACCATGTATTATTATGATCACTAATAAAATTAGGTAGTGAATTTTGGATCAGCATAATAAAATAACGATTCAAGAGTATATCAATATAAATTCAAAAGATTTTTTAGTTCATATTATATATTATTAGATAGGTACATAAATAAATATTTAAATTCTTTTTTAAACGTAAGTAATTAGACTAATGATTTAATTTCTATAATATAATGTGTATTATATTAGCTTACTGGAAATGAACAACTTTATAAATTAGACGTTAAGTAATATAAACTATTTAGATCCATCCACAAATTCCCCGAAAAATTCACTAAAAAAATTTATCCAACAAGTGTTTTTTAAATAAATTTAAATGTACCAACTAATGCATTTTAACATTTTAAATTTAAAATTGCTTAAAATATACTTTTTAATTAATTGCAAGTATATATTTTTCTAGATAAAATATCTACTATGAGTTTATATCGCCCATTATACATCTCATTTAAATATGATTTTTTTATATCTTATACTAATCTATTTAATTTTTTAAATCAAATATTTTTTTTTTTTATTCAACTTAAAAATACTTATAATAAAATGTTTGGTAGATTATATATTTAATCTCTTTTTGTGTTAAACTCTTCTTTTATAATAGACATTATTGCATTATTATTTTTTGATAACTTATACTGAAGGACATATTAATAAAATTTTATACCTAACGCTTATTAAATTTTTGTATGTATAGTATGATGGGTTAACAGATTCGTAGAAATAAACGAAACTTAATTGGTCGAACACTGCAACTCCCACAGTTCTAACTTTTAGAGGATTATGATATACCCTGATCTATTTCTGTCCACAATCATCTGAAAATATTATTATAATAATACGGTTTTGCGTATTTTGGATACTAAGGTCTGTAAATACTATAAATACATATAATATATTGTACACTTACGAATTATCTTAAAATACACAAGAGAAAAACTAAGAACTCTATAATTTATAATGTATACATAATATTGAGAAATACGAATATTATTTTTATTTTGACTTAATTCTTATACTCTATATTATATTAATAAATTAATACATCAATAATAATATATTGAATTTATGATTGATTCTATAAAATATATTGCGTAATTCTATATTATTTTAATAACGTGTAGATACCTATATAAATATTAGTTATGATATATTTAAATATTATTTTATAAAAATGTTAGTTTTTTAGATCTCGATAACTTATAGGTACAAATGTACAATGAAATAAAATAACAAAATTAATTTATACCAAATTTTATAATACCTATGTAGGTACTTTTATACTTAATCAAAATGTTTATTATATTAGAATTTAAGTTATTATCCATATTGAATGGTTCATGATAAATTATTGAATACTAACATGTGAAATTAAAAATTATATTACAATAAAATATAAAAAAGTATATTCATCACATTTTTCGTGGATTCTAATTTTAATTGAAAAAATAATTAATCTCGAAATTCCACTAATACATGGACGGACGTCTGAGCAAAACAACTTTAAATAATTAATGTAAATAACACACTCTATTCTTTAAAAAAGGTAAATATAGAGGCTACAATATATAAAGGTATTTAATATTTTAATTTAATTTTTATGATAAATCGTGTTTTATATTTGTACTAAAAGGCAATTCTTAATAATTTCTTATTTAATATAAACATAATAGTTATGCAACCAACCATTAAAAAATATTCAGAGGTATGAATTCAATTATAGTTTGATATACTACATTGAATAAAGTAATCTTTATGTATAGTAAAAATGTATGGAGACTTATAGTAATATATTTTATTTTAATTATCTAAAACCCATAGCATTACAATATTTCCAAGTAATTTTGAAGAAATAATTGTATCTTGAGCATAAAGGACTTTGATTTAAATTGTTGTTATTCAATACCTACCGAAAAATTAACGTAATACGTAAGTAGGTATCTAATATTAAGCTAATGTAAATATGAAGTATTTATATTATCTATATTATGCACTTAAAAATTCGTGAAAAATGTTGTTTTATGGATTATATTTTTATGTTTTATCTACTATACTTAAAAGAGATTGGTACTAATCATAGACATAATATTTTAAATTTAGAATACAAAATAAAATTATTCGTAAACATTTTGTTTGTAATTTAAATACAGAAGTTAATAACCGTAATACGATAACTAAAATAATCTAAATTTTTTATTTTGTTTGTTTCTATGTAATTTTGCATTTTTCAATTTATATATAAAAGATAATATTATTGTAATAGCATTTAAATTAATTTTTAATTTTATATTCAAATTTTTATAACTCAATTAGATATATTTTTAAATTATCACGCATTTTAATTAAAATGTAAAACATATAAAATAATTATTAATCAATTAACAAATTGATAAGTGAAAAATGTTTCAAATGTTTTTTACGTTTTAACTTACAATTTTATTTTTTATATGGACGATAAATAAAGTAATTGAAAATATTTTTTAAGTATAAAAACATTTCATAACTATTTCAATTAAAAAATTGTTATTTATAATGGGTTCAATAATATATTAAAATTTACAGTGCTTATTTTTATATTTATTGCAATGCCCGGTGAATTTTAATTTATTATTTATATAATATATTTATATTATATTATATTATATGAATTTAATTAGCCATGTGTATCAATGTCCTATTATAATATCTAAAGAGCTATCGAACGATCAAGTTTATCTAATTATTGTTAATAAACAAAATATGTGATTATTATATTTATGTTGTTTATATTACTACTGTAATTAACTAATACCTGCATCCTATCAATTAAGGTTTGAATGCTATCAGAAATCACTAATTAATGTTAAAAGAACTGTATGAATAAATTACATATAATTCTATAAAATTCTCAGTTACTATTATTTTATTAAATAACGTGTATAGGTATGTGTAATATATACTATAATGTAATTAATTAAATATTAATGTTAATATTATGACAATTGTTATTCGAAGACAGGATACAGTCATTTTTATTTATTTAGAATAAATAATAAGTAACTGCAATATTATTATATAGAATGTCATAAATACAAATACAATCAGAGTATTTCATAATCATTTAGTGTAATATTAAAGTAGTTTGTTGGTAGGTACATTGTACCATAAAATAATGAATAAATAATATGTAATTTAAAAACTTTCATTTGGCGTGCCCTTTTAATATTATACATACAAAACTTCTCTGGCGATGAACATGTGTTTTTATACAATAATATATATATACGGCCAACGTATAAATATATAAAACAACAGGACTTTTTTATATTTCTGACGACATTATCGAACTTTTTTATTTGAGTGAAGTGGACGGAAGGGCACACATTGTATTTCGATGTTTTGGTTTTGTCTAAACATTTGAATAATTTCCCCCTTTGCTGCTAAATTATACAGCGTCAAATGATATCATTTTCTGTGAAAGAAAAACACATTTATTTCAATGTACCAGTTATTTGGTAAGACGTTTTGATAATTAAAAGTTTTTTATTTTGTTTTCACAAGCGAAGACGGGTGCTTGGATATTTAGTTCAGTTAGTGTTACCTTATCGGATATGATAATAGTCATATACATATAAGTAAGCAGAATTTGGGAAATGATTCAATTACAATAATTCTTATACTAAACAAGATAACCGTTCAAGGGTATCTTTACCTTTTACTCATAAGCTACGTAGAATCAAGTGTTTTAGGCACCATAATAATGTATTTTCATAAGGGACTGGAATTTGTTATTTAGGCATATTCCATCCTCAATGCGATTTTACAAAGCTAGGCGCAACAACAAGTCTATAATTATCTGCAGATAATATACTGCTTATGTTTTATATTATTTTTACATAGTATATAGCAATACCTATGCAAGT